ACACTGCGGGACACCGCGGGACACCGCGGGACACCGCGGGACACCGGCGGGACACCGGCGGGACACCGCCCCCGGCCGCCCGGAAGGGAATCATTTGGTCCGGCCGCGCCTCAGGGGGGACACCGGCGGGACACCGCGGGCCCCGGGCCGCCTCCCTTCGCCTCGCCCGCACGGCACGGCACGCACGAACACGAAACCGAAATCGATTTCCCGGTAGGGGGGCTCTCCGTTCCACTTCGATCTCACCCCCCAACCTCCGATATATATATATATATATATATATATATATATATATACAAGATTTTAAGGCTCGCTGCGCTTCGCCTTCTAATCTTGATCCTTGCACCTACGATGTTTCTGGGCGCGGGCGAGAACACAATTGTTCAATGAGGTGTGTGGGAATTGTGCGAGCGGAGGCGAGGCGAGGCGAGTGCGCGGTAGCGCCCGGGGCGGGGCTCAGGGCGCAGAGTTGGTGGACGCTGGAGTGGAGGTGAAGGTGGAAAGTCGGATGCCGGACGCTAGAGGTCGGAGTGCTGAGCTGATGGAGGCTGGAAGTCTGGTCGTAGGCCCGTGGTGGGGTCTTCTTGGACCGTCCAGGAGTCTCGTGGGTTCTTCAGGTGAGCTGGTGATAGCAGTCTGGGGTCTGGGGTATGTTTTAGTTCTCGCGAGTGTTCCGTGGGCTTCTGAGACGGAAGGAGAACTGCGCATCAAATTGTGGTTCTCCAGACCCTGGAAGCCTGTCGTGGGATCTCTTTGGGGCCCCCGAGGTGTGTCTTGTGGCGCCTTGGTGTCTTTGGGGAGCTTGGATATGAGTCTCAGATCTGGGGCCCTTCAGAAGGCAGCGCAGAAGGAAGACAGCGAACTACAGGAGAGAGAGGAGCAGGAGGAGGAAGAGCAAGAGGAAGCCTTGTCGTAGGCCCGTGGTGGGGTCTTCTTGGGCCGTCCAGGAGTCTCGTGGGTTCTTCAGGGGAGCTGGTGATAGCAGTCTGGGGTCTGGGGTATGTTTTAGTTTTCGCGAGTGTTCTGTGGGCTTCTGAGACGAAAGGAGAACTGCGCATCAAATTGTGGTTCCCCAGACCTTGGAAGCCTGTCGTGGGATCTCTTTGGGGCCCCCGAGGTGTGTCTTGTGGCGCCTTGGTGTCTTTGGGGAGCTTGGATATGAGTCTCAGATCTGGGGCCCTTCAGAAGGCAGCGGAGAAGGAAGACAGCGAACTACAGGAGAGAGAGGAGCAGGAGGAGGAAGAGCAAGAGGAAGCCTTGTCGTAGGCCCGTGGTGGGGTCTTCTTGGACCGTCCAGGAGTCTCGTGGGTTCTTCAGGGGAGCTGGTGATAGCAGTCTGGGGTCTGGGGTATGTTTTAGTTCTCCCGAGTGTTCCGTGGGCTCCTGAGACGAAAGGAGAACTGCGCATCAAATTGTGGTTCCCCGGACCCTGGAAGCCTGTCGTGGGATCTCTTTGGGGCCCCCGAGGTGTGTCCTGTGGCGCCTTGGTGTCTTTGGGGAGCTTGGATATGAGTCTCAGATCTGGGGCCCTTCAGAAGGCAGCGGAGAAGGAAGACAGCGAACTACAGGAGAGAGAGGAGCAGGAGGAGGAAGAGCAAGAGGAAGCCTTGTCGTAGGCCCGTGGTGGGGTCTTCTTGGACCGTCCAGGAGTCTCGTGGGTTCTTCAGGGGAGCTGGTGATAGCAGTCTGGGGTCTGGGGTATGTTTTAGTTCTCCCGAGTGTTCCGTGGGCTCCTGAGACGAAAGGAGAACTGCGCATCAAATTGTGGTTCCCCGGACCCTGGAAGCCTGTCGTGGGATCTCTTTGGGGCCCCCGAGGTGTGTCTTGTGGCGCCTTGGTGTCTTTGGGGAGCTTGGATATGAGTCTCAGATCTGGGGCCCTTCAGAAGGCAGCGCAGAAGGAAGACAGCGAACTACAGGAGAGAGAGGAGCAGGAGGAGGAAGAGCAAGAGGAAGCCTTGTCGTAGGCCCGTGGTGGGGTCTTCTTGGACCGTCCAGGAGTCTCGTGGGTTCTTCAGGGGAGCTGGTGATAGCAGTCTGGGGTCTGGGGTATGTTTTAGTTCTCGCGAGTGTTCCGTGGGCTCCTGAGACGAAAGGAGAACTGCGCATCAAATTGTGGTTCCCCGGACCCTGGAAGCCTGTCGTGGGCCCTCTTCGGAGCCCCCTTGGTCTGTCTTGGCACCCCTGGTTGCTTTTGGGGAGCTTGTGATAAGAGTATGTGGTCTGGGGCTTTTGACGAGGCAGCGGAGGAGGAAGACAACGAACTACAGGAGCAAGAGGAGCAGGAGGATAAAGAGCCGGAGGAGGAGGAGCAGCAGAAGGAGGTTGGGAGGAGATTTCCGAAGAGTTGGTGTCGAGAGTTAGGTTGGAACCTTCTTGGACTTTCTTGGGGATGTCTTCAGAGCCTCGAAGGAGGAGATTTCCGAAGAGTTGGTGTCGAGAGTTAGGTTGGAACCTTCTTGGACTTTCTTGGGGATGTCTTCAGAGCCTCGAAGGAGCAGCTGGAGGAGGATCAGGAGAAAACCTCCTGAGAAAATGAGTATCAGTTTTCGTATCCCGGAGTCGGTGGAGGCAAATGAGGAGAGGGCGATGGAGGAGGAGGAGGAGGACGAGGAGGAGGAGGAAGGCGACGAGTTCGAGGGAAGAAGGAGGTTGAGGAGGGGATGAGGGGCAGAGAGGGGGAAACGGAGGAGGAGGAGGTAGAGAAGGACGAGAGATGGGCTGTCGGACGTCCGAGTAGGTCATGCCGAGAGTTATCTTGGAACCCTCTTGGGCTCTAGTGGGGATGTCTGCAGGGCCTCATGTGCCGTCTTGGGGCGAGGTTGAGAAGAACTAGGGGCGATGGGGGGGGCCGCTCAGGTCAATCAGAGTGTAAAGAATTTGACGGCTCTAAGACTGAGTGGAGCTCCTGTTGGTGCTTTTGTATACCATCGGAGGGCCTTCTTGGGCTGTCCTGGGGCCCTCGTGGGCTGTCTGGGGGGGCTTGGGCCGTCCTGGGGCCGTGTTGGGGCTCTCTCGGGCCCTCTCTGAAGCATCCCGTGACTCTGTTGGAGCCCTCTTGGGGGTCTTTTAGGGGTCTCTTGGGCGCTCCCTGGCTTTCTTTGCGCTTTATTGACCCATCTTGGGGCCCCATTGGGCCGCCTGGAAGCCATTTCGGGGCGACCTCGGAAGCTCGCAGATCATTATTGGGCCGTTCGTGGCCAGAAAAGGCGAGAAGCACAGAATCGTTCAAAAATAAATTGAAAATTAAGGTTTTTGGCCTGCTGAGGCCGTGTTGGAGGTCTTTGCGGGGGCATCCTGGACAGTCTTGAGCCCATGTTTGGTCCTGTTGGAGCACTATGGGGCCGTCTTGGGGCCTCTTGGGCCTTGCAGAGGGCGTCTCGGAAGTGCCTTCTGCTGTCTTGGGCTCCCGATGTAGGCCTCGTGTCGCTCTCTTCGGGGTATTTTGGGCCGTCTCGAAGCATTGTGGGGCTCTCTTGGGAGCCTGTGGGGTTCATCTGGGGTCCATGTGGGGGGGGGGTGTCGGTGACATGCCGGGTTTTTCCTTGTAACTTGATAGGTAGAAGGAATATATATATATATATATATATATACATACATATATATATATAGTGTGTGTGTGCGTGTGTGTGTGTCAACGAAACAATTGTTCCAACATCCTACAACTTTCACCACACATAGCGCGCATCAAGAATACAATACACCGCGTGTTGAGTCTTCGCCTACATACAGAAGATGGGTCGCAAGCGCGCACACGGGAAACCAGTCAACACCCCTCATATGTGTTCGATTGGCGCTGCTAACATCTACCTTTGCGGCTCGACTCGCACCACTGAGTTCACTTTGCGGCTTAAATCTGCGTTCAGGACAACCAAGGAATATGACAACAACGATACATAAGAACTGCCTGCGGGTACTCGTGAGAAACACCTGTTCGTCTCATTCCCCCTCGAGGCCCTATAACCCCCCTTCTCGGTCCACTTGCCGAAGCGTAATGGGCGCGTGCGTGGTCGTAGAGAAAAGGCAGCTGGAAGGAATCGTAATGCGGAGCCACAAATTCCGAGCTTGCAGGGAAGGCAAGTTGTAGACTGCAAGCCCGCCTTGCCAGGGAATGCAATACTGAACAAACAGAGCCCCAGAGGGCCCCCAATGCCTCCAATAGGTGACAAGAAACCCTAGCGGCGGGGGAGAGATCACAGGGGGGGCACGACCTCCTCCCACTGGAAAGACGCCCCCCGAGATCGCTAGCAGGACCCCAACATGCCCCAGCGGCGCCCAAGACGCACCCAGGAAACGTCAAGAGATTCCCAGCCAGCCCTAAAAAGGACTCATGTCCACGACCCAGGCATGGTGGCCAGATGTTCCGAAGGCCAATTGATATTTTCCCCCTCCGCCAGCATCTGCTACTCATGGTCCTCGTTCTGATCGGCCTCCTCCTCCTCCTTCTCCTCCTCCCCCCAACCCACTCCCTCTTGAGAAAACCTAGAGGTGCCGATGCCGCCGTTCCCCAGACACCTCCTGGGGTGCGCCTTGACCAGGATTCCGAAGCAAATCCAGCCGTGGCGACGAGGGAAGGTCCCAGGGAAGGGCACCAATATCGGTATCTGCCCCCCTTCTGAAATTCTCATCCTCCCGTCATCACCAGTCCTCACTCCCTGCACTGATATCTGACGTTTTCGAAAACCTACCATCTCGCAAAAAAATTGCCACTGGAGCGCTAGATACCATCTGTCTGCTTCATTTTTCGAGCCGAAACGATCGGTGATGGTCCTGGGGCCTGGAACCGGGCGAATGCGTCTGGTGTGACAAAATCGCAACGCCCGGATCTGAAGGCTCGTCCTCGTCCCCTCCTCCACCTCCACGTCCTCCCTCCGCCCTCCTCCGCATCTTCCTCGACCATTCGCCCAAAATGGGCTCGGCGCTCATCCAGCAGGAAGGACTTGACTCTTCTTTCGTGGACATCCGAACCAAACCATCTGCCAGCCAGCAGCGCATCGAGGCCTCCGTCTTGTTGATCATCTGGATCACTGCAAGCACCTACGCCGCCAGACGGGTCGACTGGTCACTGCTCAGGGCTTGGAGGAAGAGAGAGAGAGAGATAGGCAGAAAAAAAACGAACCAGAGAGAGAGAGAGAGAAACACACACACACACACACACACACACACACACACACACACACACACACACACACACACACACACACACACACACACACACACACACACACACAACGACATCAGACGCGCGGGTCCGGCCACTGCGGCTACGAGCGCCACGTGCGGCTCCGATCCTCACTGGGCCGGGAGCTGAGCAATCAAAACGGGAGCCCGCAGCGCTTCTGGCCTGCCGCCCTCACGCGGCGGGCGACCGACAGAGAATGAGAGAGAGATAGAGAGACAAAAGAGAAAGGCATGGGAGGGAGCGATGGTGAGGGGCCCAGCGGCTCCCCTGCAAACGAAGCGCCACGTCTCTCTGCTTGCCTCCTCTCTGCTTTGCGTCCTCCTCCGCGCTCCTAGCCAGTTCTGGGCGGTTGTTGGGGGCTGTTTTTTCCCGTGGCAGGCACGGTCGAGGAGGCATGTAGACCCATTGGCGTCTCCCTCGGGCTGCGCGTTGTGCAGAAACCGTCTTTGTCTGTGTTGCAGAATGCGTTTGAAGACCGACGCCCCAGACCCCATACGCATACCCGCAAAGCTTCTTGGGCATATCAAAACAGGGCGCCATGATATTGCTAACACGTACGATGATCGGTATCTGGCCGCGCCTCGGAAATCCAGATGCGCATGCGAGGCGTGCCACGCGACAGCCGTGAAGCACGCCGCCAAAATCTCAACGACCGTTAGCTGATATTCGCTCGCATCCTGTCGTGCTCGCACTCCTTGTGGACTGAGCTGATATTCGTGATATCCTCATCCTCGTTTCCCTCCTCCTCCTCCTCCACCTCCTCCTCCCACTCCTCCTCCGCCTCCTCCCAACTCCCCTCTCCCCAGCCTTTCCACTCCCCCTCCCTCCATCCTCCCATCCTTCCCCCTATCTCCCATCTTCTTCTGTCCAGTCCACAACTACTCAGCACGGAAACGATTATCCTCTTTCCCCTGAGTCTGCCCGAAAGATGTCCCGCGCTCCCCGCCCATGATTCTTTCACACGCACACAGGAGTGGGCATAAGTGCTCTCTCGTATAGATATGTACAATATGGTTGTTCCCGATGTTCCAAATGGTGCTCCCAGTGCAGCGTGGGCCGCATGTTCGGATCGGCGCTTTCCTCCCGTGGTTTGGAATGGTCCTCTCGCCACAGCGCGGTCTACTACTTTCTACCTCGTTTCCTCTCCTACACCGTCCCCTGGTCCTCCTCCTTTTCCCGCTCCTCCCACTCCAACTCCTGCTTCTTGATATTCCTCCGTTGTTTCATGTTCACCCTCCTGCTTACCGGCCGCGTCCTATCCCTCCTCCTCCTCCTCCTCCTCCTCCTCCTCCTCCTCTTCCTCCCCCTCTTCCTCCAATTCCTCATCCTGCTCCTCCTCCTCCTCGTCCTCCTCCCCCTCCTCCTCGTCCTCCGTCTCCTCCTCCTCCTCGTCCTCTTCCTCCTCCTCTTCCGCCTCCTCCTCCTCCTCCTCCTCCTCCTCCTCCTCCTCCTCCTATGCACGCAGATCCCGTGATCCATTTGCGCATAACACGTTCTGTTGGGTGGCCGCCCCACCACGTGGTCGGACGTCTGCACCACGCGCGACTGCCTGCGAGACATGCCGCGGAGCCAGCGTGCCTCGAAGGGGATGGCCTGTGAAGCGTGTACAGGCGAACCTCGCCCTTGAGGCCAGCGTGGCCTTCGTTCCCGAGCAAAAAGCGGCTGCAAAAGCGAAGACGTGCTGGCGCGGTCGACCTACGACCGAACAAATGCCATGCCAGTGCGTTCCAGCAGCGCTGCCCGCGATCTGTAGGACCCATCCCCTCCGCGAGGGAGCGCCCTCCGTCGAACACCCCCAATGCGCGCGAACGGGCGCGCGCCTTCGCCGCGGGAGCGCGCTTGCCGGTTGCGGGGTTTCAGGCCAGCCCGTGCATAAAGTGGCTGCAGAGCATGCGGCAACCCTTCCATCCTGTCCCTGCTGCGAGCAGACGAGCAGGGACAAAACGCTGTCACGAACCGGTGCTGATCTCTCATAGAACCCCGCTTCGCGGCGAGGGCGCGCCCCCCGTGGAGCGCCCCCCCCCCCCGCGCGAGGCGGAAGGGGGAGGGCGCGCGAACGGGCGGGCGCACTCGCCCAGGAGAGCGTCCACTGGCGACGGGGGACCGAGCCAGTCCTAGAGGGGCGCGGGCACGCGCAAGCGAGGGCCCCCAGCCGCGCTCGCGCGACGAACCCGCAGTCACGACCGCGCGACGATCCGATTGAGAACGGGGGCCCGAGCGGCCCCGAAGCCTCGCGCGCCCCCCGTAGGACCCATCCCTCTGCGAAGCCGCACCCCATCCCGTCGAGGACCCTCCCACCGCCCGCGGGGGAAGTGGAGAGCCCGCGAACGAACGGGCGCTGTCTAGGCGAGAGGGTGTCCGCTGGTCGGCGGGGGGTTCGGGACTGCCTCGCGGACGCGCCCCCCCCCGGGGCTCCTGCTAGACGGATAACGCACGCGATGGGGTCATCTTTCAGCCGCGTGCGGCCCGCCTGCTCCTGAGCACATGGCGACCGCCGCGCCCGACGCGCTACGGGCCCAATGGCGGCTGTCTCGTGCGTTCCACCGCAGGCGGGGCCCCCGTCCCGGAAGGTCGCGCGGGGCCCCGCGCCGGGGATGCAAGCACTTGCGCTGCGCCGCTGGACTGCCCTGGCCTCGTGGCAAGCTGGTGCCGCGGCGTGCCGTCGCTTAGCGGCGGCCCGCGGTCGCCGTTTGCCTGGCGGCCACTCTTCAAGGCTGCCGCCCTCTGATCTGCCGTCTGGGGCGCCGCGGCTGCCGTCGCCAGAACGCCTCATTGTGCCCCGCCGACTCTCAGATCAGAGCTTGCTGTTGCGCATGCTCAGCTCCTCCCAGGCCGCCTCCTGGCGCTCGACAGCACGCTCCCGCAGCTTCGCTTGCCACCCCTCTTTCTGGCCCTCCTTGGGCCCGGAGCCCGTCGAATCAGAGATATCGACGCCCTGTCGCGCTCCGGGGCAGGCGATCGATCGCCCTGTCGCGTTCCACCTTCAACGTGGGAAAGCTCTCGGGCGGGCGGGAGGCGCGGTACCTGTAGTTGCCCGTGAACTTGTCCTGCGAGAGGCGTCCGTCATCGCAGCGCGAGCGGGCCTGCAAGTCCCTGGGCGTCCGACCACGCGGGCGCGTGCTTGACGATCTTCTTGCAAGCCTCCTTTCTGCCGGAATCCACGGCGCCCATGGCTACGCCAATCTCCTCCTCCAACAGCCCGTCCAGTTTGGCCTTTCCTCCTCTCGTGGGGTTGATGACTGACGCCAGCATGGCAGTCCACAAAATCGACGGGGTGCCATCCTGACCCGGGGCCCCGTGGACGAAGATGATCATCTCGGCCTGGTCCTCCTGGCGATTCTTCTGAGGCTGCTCGATCTGGCCTCGCCGCCATGTCGCCGGCCATCTCCACGCCGCCCCTCGCCACGCCGCCCCTCGCGACGATGCAGCGCCACGGGGAGATGATGACGCGTTGGCCCCATGTGTCCTTGCCCGTTTCGAACCATTTGCGTCCGCACCTTTTGCTCGCGCGCCTCCGGTGGCCTCCGCCACTAGTGGCGTCTCCTGGTTCGTCTGCCCGCGTCGGCATCGCGCAACGCACCCGCTCCTTCGGCTTGAGGGGGGCACTCTTGCAGCGCGAGCACCCGTACATGATGTAGCTATCTCCACCGAGGGCGATCATGAAGTCTGCTGCAACTCCTAACTGCTCGTCATTCTGCGTAACCTCGTAGATACCCTTCAACAGGATGTTCGGTACCGCGGGGCCGTTTTTGTTATTCGGGATCTCCGCCAGCATGGCGTACTCGATGGACCTGGTATGCTGCGATGGGTGACTCGTTCTTCTGCTTCTCCCTCAAATTGGACCATTCGGCCTTCAGGCCGTCTCTCCACGGCATGACCCAAAAATCCTTGACCGTTTTGTTTGTTTCCGTGGCACCTGCAGCACGTGTAGCGGCAATCGCGCAAATAATCCAAGACTGTGTTGATGAACGTCCTCGGGTACTCGCCGCCCATGGTCTTGGCGGCGTGTTCGTGCGCGACGACAGAGCTGATGCTCTGGAGCCATGGAATTTCATCGCTCTCGTAGGCACAGACGGCAAGCGATGCAACATCGCGCTTTTCCTCACAAGAATTCCCCGCAAACGGGTTGGCCACGACCACGTGGCCGCCCGCGACATTGCGTGTGCCGTCGGCCTCGTTGACCAAGGGCGTCGAACTCATTTTGGGGGTGGCCTCCGAAGTGGCGCGTCCTCCCCGGACCTCTTGCCAGCCCTCTTCGCCCGATTGCGAGCTCGGCGGGAGAGGGGCTCTGCCAGCCTGGCGGCCGCCCCAAAAGGCTCAACCTAGCTCCCCTCGCGGAGGGTCGAACGGAACGCTGCCCCGCAATCCCGATCCTTTTCCACGGTCCTCTGCCTGGCGGCCTGGCTCCCGTCCTGGAGGGTTGGTCATACGGAGAGGTGCGACGCGCTCTCAGCCCTCGCCCGCGGTCTGCCGCCTCGGCCCTCTTCACCTTCATCATGCGTGACGGCACGGCAGGCGCCAGGAATGATGAACTTTTCGCTCCGCCTCGGCAAGGCGTCGAGGGCGCAGGCCAAAGGTCCAGCTGCAACGCCCAAGCGTTATTCAGTAACGGCCGAGCGCCTGAATCCAAATGGCAAAAAGTCGCGTGGGCACACGGGGGCATACCACACGTGGCCCTGGCCGGTGGAACCTGACTGGGGCGGTGGAGTCCTGAGGACTCCCCTCGCCTCCTCGCCTCCGCGCCGCCCCACCCTTTCATTTCACCGACCTTGCAGACGTGCTGCAGCGGATTTGTGCGTGAATTTCTGTCAATGCAAAACCCCGAATTGGCGAGCGAAAACCGAAGTGACTTTCTCGTGGATCTTTTTTAGTCTTCATTCCTGGCAGGAGAAATGCAAACGAAATTCGCTTCGAAACCCAGGACGCCCTTGTCCATGACACTCCGGGCCCATCCACTTGTTTTCCAAACGGAATCCGCTCTGCGATGTTGGCGCCATGAACCCTTCCCTGTCGCAGCTCGGTCGCAGGTCGGGGCAGGCGCCAGGGCGGGCGGAGCGCAGCGAGAGCAGAGCGGGGCGAGGCCTTGCCAGGGTCGCTCTTCTTCAGGAGCGGCACCGCCAGGATACTCCTGGGGCGCCAGGGGGGGGAACGCGGCCCGCCTCCCCTCTCCTCCCCACCCTCGCCCTGTCTCCTTCCGCTCTCCGCCCTCGTCCGCCGCCCTCTCGCTTTTGTGCGTTGGGCCGACCGGGGCTCAGAGCTGCCCCCCCCCCCGGGGTTCTCTGGATGAGAGCCTTCGGCAAGATGGCGCGCAGACTGCTGCAATGCCGAGTCCACCGACGTCCTCTCTCCTCCCTCTGCTCAATTCTCACGGCCGAAGAGGAATCCAAGAGGGCCCCGAGACGGCCCAAGAGGCCCCAAAGACGGCTTGACATTTCAAGCCCTGCGACCCAAGATGACCCCCGAGACCGTCAGCAGGCCCCCAAGAGGCGCCCAAGAAGCCCAAGGAGGCGCCCAAGAGGCCCAACAGAGGCCTCAATATATACTCACAACAGGCCCCGAGAGGTCCCAAGACACCCCAACGTCGCCTCCAAGAGGCCTCCGAGGGGTCTGCCGAGAGATCTCCATAGACATCCAAGAGGCCTCTGGACTGCGTGGTGGCGGGATGGGCCGACGATCATTCGGTACATGAACCTCAAGCTGGGTTCGCCCCCGACCCCACCGTGGGCAAAACCACTTCTGTACGTGCCCTCGACAAGAGAACTGCACATCACATGTCACATGCAAACGAAAGCGGCTGTCCTGGTGTGGTAGCCCGTCTCCTTGTCAACCTTCTGGTTGAAGCGGGGGTCCTGCGGACCACCGCGGCGACCATTTCCCTCACCTCCCCGTCCCATCACCATCCCCGTCCCATCACCTCCCCGTGCATCACCATATTCTGAGGGACCGTCAACAGAAGGACTCAGGATGGTCCAGGCAGCTTGGTCAAGACCTCAGAGCTCCACGCTCTGAGAAAACGCGGCGTTGGGGGGTGTCGGCACCTCCCTCCCCTCCTTGTCCCTCTTCCCTCCACGTCTCCCGCCGCCCTGCAGAAGTCGGCGCGTGCCCGCACCTGGGTCAGCTTCATGATGAGCCATTATCACCACTACCAGACTTATCACCATCACAACAGAAGCTATGTCGTGACTCTGAGGAGGAGGAGGAGGCGGAGAAAGGGCCCAGGCCCGTGCCCGCAGGTCGTGGGGGCGCACATGTGCATGCGGACTGGATGGCTCCCTCACACGCCTGACCCCGGTGGCCACCGGTCCTAAAGAGGGAAGGGTGCCGGGGTCGCGGTTGGAGGAGGAGGGAGGTGAGTGAGGGAGGAGTCGACGCGGTCGGAACCCCATCCGTTGGATATGGGGAATAACAAGAGCACCATCTTAGGATCGGAGGTGAGGGGGTGAGATCGAAGTGGAACGGAGAGACCCCCTACCGGGAAATCGATTTCGGTTTCGTGTTCGTGCGTGCCGTGCGGGCGAGGCGAATCTGCGTGGACCGGCGAGAGAAAGTCTCCTGTGGCTGAGGCGCGGCCGGACCAAATGACTCCCTTCCGGGCGGCGGGGGGCCCGCGGTGTCCCGCCGGTGTCCCGCTGGTGTCCCGTGTGGCTGAGGCGCGGCCGGACCAAATGACTCCCTTCCGGGCGGCCGGGGGCCCGCGGTGTCCCGCCGGTGTCCCGCCGGTGTCCCGCGGTGTCCCGCGGTGTCCCGCGGTGCCCCGCGGTGTCCCGCCGGTGTCCCGCGGTGTCCCGCGATGATGATGATGATGACGATGATGATGATGATGATGATGATGATGATGATGGTGATGATGATGATGATGATGATGATAATCATTATGATGATGATGATGATGATGATGATCATGATGATGATGATGATGATGATGATGATGATCATGATGATGATAATGATGATCATGATGATGATGATGATGATGATGATGAGATGATGATGATGCTGATGATGATGATGGTGGTGATGATGATGATGCTGCTGTTGATGATGATGACGATGATGATGGTGATGCTGATGATGATGATGATGAGGACGATGATGATGATGATATGGTGATGATGGTGTCCCGATGATGATGATGATGATGATGCTGATGTCGATGATGATGATGACGATGATGATGATGAGTATGCTGCTGATGGTGTCCCGATGATGAGGATGATGATGATCATGCTGATTATGTTGATGATCATGATGATGACGATGATGGTGTCCCGATGATGATGAGTATGATGATGTTGATGTTGATGATGCTGATTATGATTGTGTTCCGATGATGATGATGTTGATGATGATGAGGTTGATGATGATTATGCAGTCCCGATGATGATGATTATTCTGATGGTGATGATGATGATGTTGATGATGATGGCGTCCCGATAGTGATGATGATGATGTTGATGCTGATGTTGGTAATGACGATGATGGTGCCCCGGTGATGACGATGATGATGATGCTGATGATGATGTTGATGATGCTGATGATGATGATGTCGATGCTGAGGATGAGATGATGATGATGATGGTGTCCCGATGATGATGATGATGATGATGATGATGATAACGATGGTGATCATGATGGTGTCCCGATGATGATGCTGCTGCTGATGATGATGATGATGACGATGACTGTGTCCCGATGCTGCTGATGATGATGTTGATGATGATGATTGTGATGATGGTGATGATGATGATGATGATGGTGGTGTCCCGATGATGTTGATGACCGTGATGATGATATTGGTGTTGATGATGAGGACGGTGTCTCGATTATGATGATGTTGGTGATGATGATGTTGTTGATGTTGTTGTTGATGATGATGACGTTGATTGTGATAGCGGTTGTGATATCGATAGTGAGATCGATAGTGAGACCGAATGTTATATCGATTGTGAGATCGATTGTGCGATCGATTGTGAGATCGATAGTCAGATCAATTGTGAGATAGATCGAGTGAGATCGATTGTGAGATCGATCGAGGGAGATCGATTGAGCGAGACCGATAGTGAGATCGATAGTGAGATCGATAGTGAGACCGATCGAGTGAGACGTTGGTTCCTCCCCCCCGAACCTCCTTATCACCCGAAGGGTGGTCGTATAGGTATGGGGAATATATTTGGCCAACTCTGGTCTGGGATGCAAAGTTACGCACGAGGGGGGGGGGGGGCGCCCATCCTCGATAGCGGTGCATCCGAATAACCCAGCTGATGGTGTATCCCCGACTCTCCCCTATCCTCTGAGCAACCTGAGTTTTCGGCGGCAACCTGGGGAGCGGAGGCGAACTATCGCATGCCATCCTCCTCCTCCTGCTGCCGCCCTCGTCCTCGTCGCCGTCGCCGTCTCTGTCGACGTTGCCGCCGCTGCCCTCTCTCCTGCCGCCGCCACTCCTCCTCCCCCCTCTTCCGCTCGCTCGGCGCTCGTGGCATAATATGCCGAGGCCCCCCCCTCTCGATACACGCTGTAACCATCGTGTCACCATACGGAATGCCAAATAAGGGGTTACTCCTCATCCTCCTTCTCCTTCTCCTCCGTATCCTCCTCGTCCTCCTCCTCCTCCTCCCTCATTTCCCGTTGCCTATCCTCCACTCCCCTCGCGTTGCTCTCCTCCTCCACCTCCTCCTGCTCGTCCTCGTCCTCGTCCTCCCTCCTCGTCTTCCCCATCCATACCTCTCCCCTCGAGGAAGACAAAGCGACATGAACATAGACTTTCGGAGGTCCGCGCGGACTTCTCCGACCGGCGCAGGACCCCCCTGGCGGCGGCTCCAGCGCCGCTCCTGGCGCGCTCCGCGCGGCAGGGCGAGGGGCTCCAGCGCCGATCCGAGAAATCCGCGTGGACCTCGGAGATGCCGTGCTTACGCACTTGTTTTTCCCTCGGTCCGAGCCAAGGCTCCCCCTCCTGAGCCCACGGTGGTCCCGATCCCAGCGCCTAGGCTGTGCTCTGGGGCTCCACCCCTCCCGCTCCTCACTCCGCGCTCCTGCCCTTCCCGCTCCGAGCTCGCCCTGCCCCGCTGACTGCACCGCTCTCCGGCCGCCATCCGTCCTGCCCCATCTCACGGGCACCTGCCCTGACCTGCGTAAACCTCTTCTGGCCCTCGCCACCACGAACCCACAAGGTCCTCGTAGGCTTCAGGGATCGCAATGACCTTGCGAGCGGCACGCGTCGTTCCCCTAAGAGGCATCCTGGCCAACACACTACCGGAATCATGTCCCTCACTGGCCCCGAGGGAACTCCATGAACGCAGCCAACAATCAGGCCGAACATCAATGTTCTTGCACTTATCGCCCGTCCGCTCGCGCCTGGGCAGTAATACGTTACATACGCGCAAGACACGCACTCACCATCCCAATAACAATCGCCATACGTTTCTTCAATGTGCCAGGGGATCATGCTATGTATGCACCCCTTCTGTTCGCCAGTTCCTCACACTCCGTACCCTCGTGGATTTCGAAACATCAGTTTGGAAAAACCTCCGAGAGGGAATGGAAAGAAGTGGTTCCATCTCTCATCCCCGCAATTACACTACCGTTCCGCATCCTCCCTCCAACTGCTCCAATCATTCTCCCCCCTCTCCTCGAGTTTCTGCCCCCCCCCGGCCTCGTGCTCCACCCCGTGCTCCCTCAACTCCTCCCCCCCCTCCACTCCCCACTCCTCCTCCCAATTCCCGCAACCCCTTTTTCCCTACCTAGGCTCTGCCTATAAGGGTTCTTGCTCTCTGAGCTTAAAGGGGCCGGGCAGCGGGGCTCGCCCCGGGCGGTTCCCCCAGAATCCGCCCCGCGGTTCCCCCCAGCTACGTCCCCTTAGCTTAGCGTTGCTTATCTCATCTTAGCTTAGCTTACTTTAACTTAACTTAGCTTAGCCTTGGCTCCGGTTTATCTTAGCTTCGCTTACCTTCATCTTAGCTTCGCTGAGCTTTGGCATGGCAGAGCACATCATAGCATAGCATACCGTAGCATAGCATAGCGCAACACAGCATATCATAGCATAGCCCCGCATAGCGTAGCATCGCATAACATAGCGCAGCATAGCATAGCATAGCGCAGCACAACATATCACAGCGCAGCATAGCATAGCATAGCACAGCACAGCATAGCAGAGCATAGCAGCAAAGCAAGGACAAAGCAACAGCAGCGACAGCAAAGCAAAGCACAAGCAACGCAAAGCAAAGCAACGCAAAAACAAAACCACAGCACATGAAAGCCAAAACAAAAGCAATGTGCGACAGATGCCGAGCTAGCCTCGATGGCCGGACCGGAACCCCCGCAAGCAGTGCCTTCCGTAACAATTTCGGCTCAAGTCCGGAGGCCCTGCCACACAGCCGCCCACGCTCATGCCCCGAGGTTGGCGGAGTGAGGCGTGCAGCGTTGCTGCACAGCCCGCCTCGGCACCAAGTGGTGCTGCGCAGTCCACCCGGCATGTTGTGGCCATCGCTGTGGGCGACGTCGCGTCCAAGCGGAACGACGATCAGCGGGTCGAAGGCAGCAATATGTACACGGCTGTCGAGGATGGCTTCTGGGCGTTCGTTGTGCTCTTTGCGCCTGAATGCGGCCTGCAAGACATGCACTTCATCAGTCGCACGACGCGGGGCACGTGGTACTCGCACCATGCCCGCCTGGGCAGGGTAGAGGCGTGGGTCGTCAGGCTGATCCGGAACACAGGCTTGCTCGAGATGGGGATGCTTGACGCGAACATCCACTTGATGTCTCAGAAGAGCGGGGAGGATGGTAAGGGTGTTGCTTCTCGGCAGTTGCAGCTGACCCACATGATCGACAACGATCTCGAGTGTTTGTGGAGTGT